AAAACAACATGAACATGACAGAGGTATGAAGAACATTTTACTCTCAAACACACAAATTAAATATTTGTGATAAGTATGAACATTTATAAATGTTATTTTCCTGTGTTTTCACTCAACACCTTTAATTAGAACATGTTTGAAGCATTTAATTTGATTTGCATTAATACATTCACGAAAACAAACTCATTCTCTTGTTTAAATGCATATTTACGAATTTCAATTCAAACTGAAACGATCGAGTTTCTATTGTGAATAACATTTGAACGTTTTTCAAATATTTCATCACGTGATATGAAGTTATTCATGTGATTGGCTCAGCTCACACGAGTGAGACAAATTTCTATCCGCTGAAAGGCGTGATTTCGTTGCAAATTACGGCCAGTGGTTGGCTGGTTGCATTCAACTGCCATTGAAATTTTGAACTATTCATAAAAAAAAAATTATAAAAAAAGAAATCGGGTAAAGATTTTCCGTTTTCGACATTGTGGAATTCGTTCGTTTTTTGAGAGAAAAAAACCCTGAAAAAACTGATTTTGACAAGATAATTCAGAAATGTTATACATGTATTAAGAATAATTCATAACGAATTGTATTCACTATCGACTCATGAATAATTTTCATAATTACCGAGTACACGAGAAAATTACAGAAAAATGATAATTAGCTATACTCTCTATAATTTTGCCTTTTATTTGTCTTGAATTATGACCGAATAAAGCTGAATGAAATTACAAACTATGCAGTGTGATCAACAACTCATGTATGAATAATAAATTTAATAAATATGATTTTACTTGGTAAAAATGCTGTATTTTTCCGCAGTTATATCGGTTATATTGGACCAACACTCTCGCCAGGAAAGTAGAAAACGCAATCGAAATGATCCATGATGTACACACTTATATTACACTCAAAGTGTTGCTTACCTTTGGTTTTCTTGGTTCGTTTAGGTTTTTTGAAGGTTCTGAATTTAGACAAAATGTTCATAATCTTCGCAGCGCGATCATCTAATGGAATGTCCACCTGAAACAGTCAGGCGTATATAATAGTGGCATTAAGTGATGTGTGTTATGTCAATTGAAGAAACTTAAATATTTATTATTATTTATTTATTAAACCTTTATTGCAGGATATAAAACGAAAATACGCTCATTATCATTGTCAGTGTAACGCATTTATTACCTGTTCGTCAGCGCTCGTTGTCGGCGTTTTCGCCTCCGATTCGACGACCTTCTCTTCATTTCCCTCGTCTTTCTTCTCCTCAACCTCGACTGGCTTGATGCCTTCCTCTGTGGCGTTCACTGCGAGTACAATGTACATACACACATACAAATAATGCTGCAGCAGTGCGATTAGTCTAAACAATTGGAAATGTCCATGGAGCAATACCCACATCCAATTGATTCAAGTTCAGAATAATTATTGGCTAATTAACGTAAATCATGTTCGTTGATGGAGCCATAGTCTTTACGTCAACGTGCCAAATTTGCATATAAACTTTAGACACGGAGCCTTGTTTTCAAACATTTATAACATGGCAGCAAATGTTTAAAAAAAATCAAATCAATAACTGTGTTTCTTTAGTCATTTGGAATTATTTATATAGGCCATCATCTTAAAAACATGTCATATTGGCATACTACAGAACTCGTCGCCCATTTACGTCACGAAGCGCTCTGTTTCTAGAGGGCGTGACTTATATAAACGATGAATGTAATGAACTGCCTTATATGGTAACAATGAGACTAAGTGTGAGTGACCTCTTTATAGGTTACATTGAAGACGATATCTGAATAGATTACCACATATGGTTACCATGTTAACCAAGTTGAATGAACTGCCTTGTATGATCACAAGGTACTATGGTTTTAATGTGAACAAACCTTTTTATTCGAAATCTTTGAGGGGTGATTTCTATTGAATTGCGGAATAGAAGTAAATGTTGTTCGACGACATTGTGAATCAACTATCTTATGTGGAGACATTGTGAATGAACTGTCTTATGTGGAGACATTGTGAATAAACTGTCCCTTATGTGGAGGCATTGTGAATAAACTATCGTATGTGGAGGCATTGTGAATAAACTGTCTTATGTG